AAGTCGACTGGATGATTATGAGTTAGAATTTTCTACAGGGATTTTAAAAAACGTTCTTTACAGACTTGAAGTTTGAATGATTTACTGAAAAATTAGGGCTTTACTAAGAAAAATAGCTCCCTAGAATTTCAGAATCAATTTAGTATATCCTAACCTATTGAAAGATATAACTAGATGAGGATACTGCCAATTTTCTGAGTGGTAAATGATACGTCACAAATGCTTAAAAACTTAAGTATATCATTTGAAAAATATCATGTTTAAGAAAAAAGCGGTTTAAAAAAAAGTTGTAGATCTCATGATACTATGAATAACAAGATAGGATCTTCCCGTAGCCCAAAATCGGTCGTGTTCGCGCATGCCGTCATTGGAGAGTAGAATTTGAATTTTTGTTAAAGTTAAATGGGATTTGTATGCATTCTGTGATGAAATTACTGGACGAAAATAAGTTAAGAAGTTCAATAATTACAATAATTGTACACATAACGATATCTCCAAACTATTTATTAAAGATTATTTATTGACACATACAAAAAACTGACATTTCGAACGTGCAACTCTCCAATGACGTCACGACTTATGCGCAATATCTTATCTTGTTATCATAGTATAATGGTAGATCTTATAGATAAGTTTCGAAAATAATACATCAACAATTTACCGGGATAATTGCAAAAAACCATTATTTTTGCAGTAATTCAATCTTTCCTCTTTTTCTTCTTCTTCCTCTTCCTCTTTTTTTTATTTTATATTTACTCATTTACACATTAGCTCAGCGGTGAGGACGACTGTCTTTCGAAATGGCCTGGCCGTTGACGTGAACGGTCATCAACAGAATTTTAGTGCAATAGACTAGTTCTAGATTTGACTAAAAACGTATAAACGGCTACAGGAGCAATAGCAACTAGAAAACGCAGACGTTGTCACCGTAGTGTTAACACAAACATTTTTCTTCTTCTTCTTCCTCTTTATAAGCTATTCTGCTTGTTCATTGGCGAATTAATACCTCTAAAACTGTTAAACTGATCGTACCTGTAAAGTTACTCCACGTTACAGTGCAAAGAAACATTAATTTTTTTTAAACTGAGGTAGCTAAAACAAATAATAAGAACTGTTCTGCATTCACCTCTCGGAAATATCGGAAAATGTCGGAAAAATAAATTAATCAATTTTTTCTATAAAGTTATTGAATTTGACTACTGTTGCGTAGGAGATATTTAAAGTTTAATAATTAATTTATATTATTTACATAAATATATAATATAAAAATTACAAAGTAATACTTTAAATGTAACTATTTTAATGGAAATATGAAATTACTTATTTTTTTTACTTACTAACTTATTTTACTATTTATAACTGGGAATAAGCCACAATTAAAGATAAAAATACGTTTATTGACGTTTCAATTTCCAATTCGGAAATCGTTCTCAAAATACAAACAGTAAATTAAACAAATTTTGTTTTTTGTTACATAGTGAAAAAATTTTTCTAATCATTTAATTTTATCTGACTCATTTATATTGACAATTCAGACATACATTATGCATTTTAACGTAGACGACTTTAAAATGATATTGCCAATATTGTTGAGTTGCGCTCCTGGGACGACTTTACTTATAAGATAGTTCATTCGATTACATGAATTCCTCGGCAGAATGTAGTAGGATCTGGTTACCAATATTGAAAGAGGAAGTTATTAATAAGAAAATACCAGTATTAGTAAGTCAGTAACATATAAAGGATACATCATTTATGTTTTTTAAATAACGTAACATATAAAATCAGAATTTTGATGTTTGTTGAAGGTAAACTAAATTCACGAACAAATACTTACAATGTCGGGATAGTATTATGAGGTTTTTTTCCTGGTTTTTTCCTCATAATTTACTATGGAATCACTAACGGGAGAATTTTACTGTCATCATGTCATGTGTTTGTCTTTTTAAAGACGAATTACATGCTATGATTTTTTCTGACGGATATTCTCGAGTTAAAGTTGATTTCATGTAATCGAATGAACTATCTTATAAGTAAAGTCGTCCCAGGAGCGCAACTCAACAATATTGGCAATATCATTTTAAAGTCGTCTACTTTAAAATGCATAATGTATGTTTGAATTGTCAATATAAATGAGTCAGATAAAATTAAATTATTAGAAGAATTTTTTCACTATGTAACAAAAAACAAAATTTGTTTAATTTACTGTTTGTATTTTGAGAACGATTTCCGAATTGGAAATTGAAACGTCAATAAACGTATTTTTATCTTTAATTGTGGCTTATTCCCAGTTATAAATAGTAATTAATTTACAATGCCACAAGAAAATAACTTATTAAGTTTTTACACTCCTTGAATAAATGGTTTTAAAATAAGTTTTGAAGCGAATCTCTTTGTATTGTGCGAGAATTAATAATAATTATTGTATAATTATATAAATTATATACATTAATCAATAAAATTTAAATGAAATAATAGTAATCTTTAACTTTTTTATGAAAAAATACAACTAATTAATTTTTCCAGGATTTTCCGATTTTTTCGGGGGGTGAAGGTAGCATAGTTCTTCTTATTTTATGCAGCTACCACAATTAAAACAATCAGGCCACTTCGTGCTATAGAAACGACATATTCCAAATTTTTCAGCGCATTTCAATTTGAAGTTCCACTCTAAAAAACGGAACTTGGAAAGTTCTCTCATCCACTTTAACGTGGGGGTATTTTACGAGTATCATTTATAACGGGTTATGCCTTTTTGACTTCTTCTCCTTATAATGGTGACATAAAATACAGGGTGGTGCATTTACAAATACTAACCGAATAATGAAACCCGTTAAACTTGTTACGATTTTCTTTGAAATTTAGTTCTAATTTTTTAGATATCCTATATAACACAGAACTACTTTGTATCCTGAACGACGAAATTTTAAATTTAAAAAAAAATACAAGGTGTTTCATTAAAAAACATATCTTTCATAAGGTACATTCTAATAGGAGATCTTGTATATTTGTAACTAGTTTAGAATGTGATGCTCACAGCTACCTCCTATTTTTATAAATAGCTCTTTTTGGTATCTCTTGGTATAACAGGTTTTGCCACAGAGTGGATCACATTGTATAAGATCTGTGTGGTTTTTAGAATTTATCGGAATCTGTAACTTGTAATTACAAAATAAGGTTAAAGTGCTGTTGCGAGTACAGCATAAACGCACAGATCAACTTACAAGTTAACAATGTTTTTCTGGGTCTTTTTTATTTTATTCTGGTCTATTTGTGTAGTTTCATATTATTCAGTTTGAGTTAGGTTAGGTTAGGATAGGTTGAGTTAGGTAAGATTAGATTGTGATTCTGCTGTAGGAAACACGCTAAAATGAACGTAAATGTTTCAGGCTCTTCGCCAATCCATTCATTCTCTCTTCATATTTTTGAATAGAGACTTGTTTGCTTTTTTAAACCGAGTAAAGTTGATTTGTAAGAATAGCTTTTTTACCTCATATATTTAATTGTTCGTAGAATATAATATATTTATCCACCATTTCTATTTATTTTTTTCTATACTATAGTTTCTATCTGTTGTTATAAGGATATTCTTAATAATAAGTTGATTCTACTGCATCTAAATATTGTAATTAGTTTTTTAAAGTAACATATATTAGTAAACAATAGATTTAACAATGAACTCTGTTTTTAGATGTAAAAACAGACCACAAACTGGACTACGGTCAGTGCCAGTCTCAATGACAAGACACACTCAATCATAGGTGGTCTTGTTTATACAGAAAAACGTCGAGCAATCATAAGTCAGACATTTTTCCAAAGAGTCGTCATAGTTTTGAGTACGATATAGGCACGAGGCGAACTTGACAATAGTTTGGTCTTTTTGTTCGGTTTATTTTTGTAATGTCGGTATATCGAGTTATTCATGAAATATTCTGTCTCGGTGAAGTCAACAAGGATGGCGTTATTTCATGAAGAATAATACTTTTAGACCAGCGGCGTGGTAGTTTTTTACAGAGTAAATTACTATATTGTGTCTTCATTCATCTCTTTTTTGTCATAGCAAAGTTATTACAAAACAACGAAAGATGTCAATTTTTACAAAGTAAAAATTGACATCTAATATCTCATTGCTTACTGTCATTAATATATAATTGTTTATATGGGCGTATCTTTGGTGTGTTTGTTGAAAGAGGTAACGAGATATGTAAGCATAATCCGCCCAGTGTATACTTCTCTTTTTATTGGAGAACTTAGACTCACAGTCTTATCCGGCACAGTCTAAGGAAGTTTGATGTGCAGACGACACTGCAGTCGCGGCAAAACATACAAACTTGGATATGGCTGTAAGAAATCTATAGTCGGTAGGATACGATAGAAGAATGGAGTATACAATGGAAAATAGCAATAAATCCAAAAAACACTCAAGTGGTTATCTTCAAAAAGAGAAGAGATAACCCAGAAAAACAACTAAAAGTGCAAGACAGACCAATGGACGAGTCACAATGGACCAAGGTTTAACCTTCGCACCAAATGTTATCGCGATAGTCCAGAAAACAGCAATGACCAGAGACGCAAAAGAGAATTCACAGTTAGCTATGAAAACAACATTAAGACTGATAAACAGCATCATACTACCCATAATTACATATGCATGGAGACACACAAGTCACAGCAACAAAAAGAAGATTCAAGCAGCTCACAACAACTGCCTTAGAGAAGCTGCAATGTGCCCAGATACGTCGGTGAACAATTTCTATTAAAACACTTAAAACGAATAAGGGTACTGAATATGATGGAGGAAAATGCCAAAACAAAATTCGTAGAGTTAGAAGGTCAGACGATCTTCCAAACTGAATCCTGCGAAAGATTCAGATTCAGAGAGAAAGAGAAAGATATATTTACCATAGATGGAGGCCCAGAAAACCCAAACAACAAAACTAGCAAACATATAATAAAGTTAGGATAATCGCAGCTATATCAAAAGAAGACAAGGAGCTCACCTTAGGTATGGCAGTTTTTTCTCTTGTATTTCAGATTTCATTGATGGATCCTTATCTAAAAGAAATTCGAAAATTATAACAGCTCTGTAATGAAGTAGAAGAAGAACATATTGATTTGAAAGCAAGCCAGAATCAGACAGTTGTAAAGAAAGTGACCACAATACAGACACAGAAGAAGCATGCAAGGAAGAATTGGAAACAGAATTGGAGAAAGGATTTGAGGAGAAACCTACAACTTCAAAATATTTTGAAACAAATACGGAAAATCGTCGGCTCTTTTATTATACAAAAGATAGGAATACAAAATAACCACGCTATTCGATAGAAGGACGAATTTCAAACAAAAAATGCAGTAAACTTTTTTTCTCTAGATCAATACTTTTTGAGTTATTCGCTGTTGAAAAGTGTCATTATTAATATTAATTAAATCCGTGTTTTTCCCAGTTTCTTCAAGAATAGGTAGTTTTCACCCCTTAAAAATAAAAAGCGCACCTAGAGCGTATATAACTTTTGAAGTGGAGGGTAAGATAAGCTTAATTTGAAATTTTCGAGTTGCAAAGAAATCGATGCAGTTATAAAAAATTCGGAGGTATTACCATATTTTAAGTCTGTTTTAGACTATAACATAAAATGATATAAGAAAATGGTATACTAAGTTTTGTCATAATGTAAAACAGAAAACAAAATCTGTTAACAAAAAATGTTATAGAAATTAGAACATGTCCTATTTTGATACCAATTATTAGTATGCACGCATGCGCAGTTACAATTTTGTATCCTCTTTGGTAATATCTTCTCGAATCAGTTCAAGAAGTTCATTAAATTGTGGCTTACACATTCTTAAAAATTGTCTATATTTTTCAGAATCATTGTCTTTTAATTCAGTTTACAACATATTTAAAACAACACGACCTTCCTGTCTTTTTTGAAGCCAAGCTCTAGGCCACATATTTCGTTGGGTTTTTTTCTTGCTTGTCTGAATTAAAAGAAATGTCGTAATGGAAGCAGCAGATAATAGGAGAATTTTCTTATCCATCATAAATATATGTCTTTGTTAAAGCAAAAGTAAAACGAGGGTAAAACTAAACTAGGTATTTACGTGGGTAAAAAACTAAAACTAGATTAAATGTTGGAGAAAATGAGGTTACGTTACAATAACAAAAAGAAGAATAAAAACATTGAGGTTAACAGTACATGTACAACAACATAATAATTTTAAAAAAGGACTGTTTTAGCATGTAATGCGCAGAATCACATAACATATTTTGATACCAAAATGTGACAATGTAATACACAAAACTTCTTATATTAATATTGTACACAATCGTTTCAAGTAAGTTCTTGTTATACCATTTTCTTATATCATTTTATGTTATAAAACAGACTTTAAGCATCAGTAACTGGAGTAATTGGTGCAGCAACCCTACTATTAGGTTATTTTTTTAATCAAATTAAAATGTTAAATTATAAACCAATATTGTATGGTTATTAATTGTGCCAATGCTTTATGTATGTCTTACACAACCGTTGACTTCTCAAAGTGTGTATTTTGGCCTTTCCAATAGAACACCACTGACCTACAAGGACGTTAAGTTCTCCTAACCCGGTCGTCTCAATCATAAATATTTTTTCCTCGGTCGTAACAGAGTTATAAAGCCGTTTTTTTGCGATCAAACGTTTTGCATCACGCACAACAATTGTAGTCGAATTCGATTTTCTAATATCGGTACACAAAGTGGTCGGCTTTATTGGTTAATGAAAAAGCGGCAATTAAGAAGTAAGAAAGAGAAGAAGAGGTAAGAACTTGTTTAATCGAGTAAGAAGACGACGTATCAGCGCCAGTATGGAATATCAATTAAATTCTTTACCGCACACGGGGAGTGGATAAAGTGTCTGAAAAAATGCCAAATGTAATCCCACCTGCTATAACTACGGAGACTTAGAAAAAGTGTCATCGTCGCTATTTCACTTAGCAAACAGCGTTTCATTTCGTTGTGGTTTTTGTTTTCAAGTTACGATCATTTATAGAATGTAGACAAAGAACGAAGAATATAATACGTATTACATACCATAGTATATATGGTTATGTTATGTAGTGTTTTTGTCTTATGCTGTTTTATCCTGCTGATTTTATTTATATTTTATGGTGTCTTTCCTACCTTATAGCGTGCACATTGTTGTCTGTGTTATAAGTTGTTGTATGAGTTGTAATAAGCACGCCTTGGAATAACCCTTCCTTTTCTCGGACGGTTAGCCATTCCCACAAAAATTATTCATAATAAGGTTCCCCCAAACCAACGCGAATTAATTCGAAGCGGATTCATGACGGAAAAATCGCACCGGAATTCATAGCGGAATCGTGAATGACCCCATACCAAAAACGAATATATTCGCGTCATATCAGTCACGTCCAGTATCGAAAACGTTGAGTGAAAAAACAAATAACGATTATCAATTTCAATTGTTAAAAAAATGTATTCCTCATCAGATGAAGAAGAAGCACTCGCAATGTTTGCACTAGAAGATGAAAATTTGAAGTAAAGTAATTACTAGCTTTTTCTGAAAATACCGACGTTGATAATTTTATGATTACAACTTTATAGGAAAAGAAGAAAATGGGTTCACGATATCAACCTTGAAAGAAGAGAATATGGCGAATTTCATGCATTAATGCCAGAATTACGAAGAGATGAAAAAAGATTCTATATTTATTTTAGAATGCCAATAAATTGTTTCGATGAACTTTTGCATCTTATAGAAAATGATATACGAAAATCAGACACAAATTATCGAGAAGCGATTTCCCCTGAAGAGCGATTAGCCATTACATTGAGGTGAGAACAAGAAAAATATTAAACTATTTTAAATATTAAGTAAATGTAATTTAATCAACATATAATAATAAAATTCGTTTCTCATTAAAATATTGAGTCATAGCATCAGTCCTTGTATTTAGGAACAAAATGGATTTATTTGTTGTACGGGTTAAATAAGTGGAGGTAGTTTGAAGCAGAGGATGGATCCTGCAGTGACGCTGATTGGTAGCTAACATAATCTTTCTTTTTGGTAAGGTTAATAAAACCATTTTCTTTATTTATATCGGTAAAATCTGTTTCAACGGAAGAGACGTTTGGATAAGTATCTGCACTTGCAGATCTAGATTGATTTGTAGAACATTCCTCTAATTGAAGAAGCTCCTGTTCTATGATGACTTGCGCAATTTTCATTTTTGTTTCTATTTGTCTTCTAGGAAAGAAAGTTTTTAACGTACAAGCGTGAGCCAAAAAATTTGATCGAAACTGACTTTTTTTGACTTCAAAATAAGTTATCATTTCTTTAACAGATGTGGATGGTTGAGAATGGCGTTTTCTGTTTTCTTTGGTGACAATGGGAGTTTTACGCTCAGAAGTAACTTTAGGACCCCCACTTGACCTAGGTGTAACTGCCGAGGGTTGAACCTGAATGATATCGGTGTTCGATGTCATTTTTTCGTAGAATTTGCCGCCTGTGCAGTTTTAGTTTTGCTGGTTCTGATATACTTGGCATACGTATCTCGCAAATCTCTCTCATAATCTTCATAAGCATCTCTGCTAGTTCGACCAGTGCGTCCCTTGCGTCGTGATGCGCAGATACTACTCTCTTCTACTTCTCTTCTTAACCTGCCATACACCAAAGTGCGTAGGCGACTATCTCATTACTAGAATTCTGTTCTTGGCGGCGTGACACAGCTCACCTGTATTGTGTATTCCTGTCCATTCTTTAATATTCCTTAACCAGGATAATTGTTTGCGGCCGGCTCCTCTCCTACCTTCGATCTTCCCTTGTAGGATTAACTGTGGTATTTCATATTTTGCTCCTCTCAAAATGTGCCCAAGGTAACCAATCTTGCGTTTTTTAATTAATTCAAAGAGTTCTCTTTCCACGCCGGCTCTATTAAGGACGTCATCGTTTCGAACTCTATCCACCCAAGGTATGCGCATCATTCTTCTCAATGACCACATTTCAAATGCTTCAAGTTTGTTGATAGATGTTTTTTTCAAAGTCCACGTTTCCATGCCATAAAGCAAGATGGACCATATGTAGCACTTGACCATTCTGTAGCGTATTTCGAAGTTTAGGTGTTGATTACATAGGAGCGGTCTGAATTTCACAAAAGCTTGTCTTGCCATTTGTATTCGGGTTTTTATCTCGTGTTGTGGATCCGATTGGTCATTGATTGTGGTGCCAAGGTATTTAAAAGTTTTCACGCGATTTATACGATTGTCACCTATGCATATTATCGGGTTTTCTGGAGGGTTTCTGCTAATGACCATATATTTCGTTTTCAAAATGTTGATTTTGAGGCCATATTTTTTACCTATGCTATTCACCCTATCAAGTAATAACTGCTGATCTTCCAAATTATCAGTTATAATCACTGTGTCGTCCGCATAGCGTAGGTTGCTAATTGGTATGCCGTTCACCTTAATGCCTAATTCCGTATCTTCTAATGCTTCCGCAAATATATTTTCAACATATAAATTAAAAAGCATCGGAGAGAGTATGCAGCCTTGGCGGACACCTTTCCGGATTTCAAATTCATCCGTATATTGGTCTTGATCAATCCTCACCTTTGCCATTTGGTTCCAGTATAGATTCTGAATAATTCTGATCTCCTTCTGGTCAATGTTGGCCCTATGTAGTAGTTCCATCATGATATCATGTTTAACATTGTCAAATGCCTTCTCGTAGTCGATGAAGGTGAGGTAGACATATTTTCGTTGATCTAAGCAGTTTTGTATTAAGGTGTTCAAACATAAAATTGCCTCTCTTGTTCCTAGTCCTCCCTTAAAACCGAATTGTGTTGACCCGCTAAGTTCTTCTAGTATCTTGTACATTCTTGAGTGTAATATCCTAAGGAAGAGTTTCAACAAGTGACTCATTAAACTGATTAAGCGGTGTTCATTGCATTTTGTGGCATTAGCTGTTTTTGGGATCATCACAAAGGATGACTGCAGCCATTCTCGCGGAATGTAACCAGTATCATAAATTCTATTGAACAGCCTTACCAAGATTTCGATATTCTCCTCGTCTAGTAGTTTTATTGCTTCTATATTAATTTCATCTGGACCTGTTGCTTTATGCATCTTTGTGGTTCTAACTGCATATTCTATTTCACTTCGCATTATTGATGGCCCTGATAAGTTTTCGGAAGGAAGTTTGCGCGTTGGTTGTGTTGGTCTTTCGTCATTAAAAAGGCTTTCTGCGTATTCTTTCTACGCCATTGCTATCTCCTCTTCTGACTCTATGTATTCGTTTCTGTCGTTGCGTATTCTTGTTCTGTGGTGGCTTTTGTGTATATTCGATATTCGATATACTCTTCTGCCTCTTCTACTACTTGTTACGAATAATATACCATATTTCAACCATATTTCAAAGGTAAGTTTTTTTTTCTTTGTACAAATAACAACAATGAGTTAAGCGAAGTATTTTTCGCGATTATTAAATTAATTGCTAATTTATAAGAAGAGAATTTTTTAACTAAATCAACTTTTGTTTTTTATGAGTACAAACAAATTATTAGTTATGGAAAATTAAAAACACACACACAGACATTAAAAAATATTACTATTCGTAGTATTAATGACACACATTAAACACAAAAAGTTATTTTCTCTCACGTGCTTATAATGTAAATGAGTTTTGGCAGAATATTCTCATTAGGCACAGACAATAAAATGTAATTAGTTATTATTCCTTTTCGTTATTGCATTTTACCAACGTGATGACGGAAACATTACCACATAATTTGTTTTTTATTATAACCACCTAATAATTCCAGCAAAAACTCACCTTTTACTATTAGTTACATATAACTTAATAAAGAAAGTAAAATAGATATTATTATGGGAGTTATAAATGCATGGTATTGATACATTGATACAGGGTGTTCCTTAAAACCTTGACGCCGTATCACGTAAGATCATCCGAAAATAGGATAATCTTAGGTTAGGTTAGGTTAGGTTAGATTAGGTTAGGTTAGGTTACTCAAGGAAAAAAAGCTGAAGAAATATACAGATTTTTGAAGGTTCTAAGAGGTATATAATATGAGTGATTGCTGATAACAAATCCTTGAAGACAGTACAGCTGATTGTGCTTTGTTTTTGTTTTTTAAGTCATTACTATTTAAATGGGAATAAGCCACAATTAAAGGCTAAAGTACGTTTATTGACGTTTTAACTTCCACTTAGAAAATCGTTCTCAAAATACAAACGTTAGTAAATTAAACAATTTTATTTTCAACAAGGCTACGCTATTGACGTTGTTTTTTGTTAAAGAAAAATTGTTTATCTTCTAATGTTTGTATTTTGAGAACGATTTGTGAAAATTGAAGTGGAAATTGAAACGTCAATAAACGTACTTTAATCTTTAATTGTGGCTTATTCTCCTTTAAAAAATCTTCTTCTTAGGGTGCCTGTTCCGAATGTTGGCGATTATTCTGGCTATAATGATTTTATTGGTTGCTATACGAAATAGCTGTGTTGAGGTCTTTCTATACCATGCTCTCAGGTTAGCAAGCCAGGATATTCTTCTTTGTCCTGGGGCTCTTTTTCCTTCAATTTTACCCTGTAAAATGCATTGGAGTAGCTCGTATCTGCCTTGATTTCTCATTATATGTCCCAAGTACTCCAGCTTACGGCTCTTCACAATGTTGACCAAATCCGCGGTTGTGTTCATCCTCTGCAGTACTTCTTCATTGGTGACTTTGTCTGTCCATGGTATCTTCAGAATTCTTCTGTATAACCATAATTCAAAAGCCTGAAGTTTTGATAGAGTTTCCGCCTTTAATGTCCACGTTTCTACTCCATACAGAAGCACTGAGTACACGTAACATTTAAGGAGCCTTATTTTTGTTTTCAGGGTGAGTTCATGGCTTTTGAACACAGAGCTCAGTTATGTTTTGCTTGTTGATGATCATTAGCTTGGTTTTGCTGGTGTTTATATCCAGTCCATATGTTCTACTTGTTTCCGTTATTCTGTTCATTAAGTTTTGCAGCCCTTCTATGGTATTGGAAAACACTATTATATCATCTGCATACCGCAGGTTATTGAGCTCGACTCCATTTATTGAGATGCCTTCACCAATATCTTTTAGGGCCTCTTCAAAAATGTACCGCTGATTGATTCCAATACAGATTAGCTTTAATTTTTAAGTCTCTTCCATCAATCCCTGTCCTCTTCAGCACTTCCATCATTTGTTCATGCCTAACTCTATCGAAAGCCTTCTTGTAGTCAATCAGACATGCAAAAACATTACAGCTGACATCTCTACATTTCTGAAACAAGATCTGCACGCTAAATAAAGCTTCCCTCGTACCAACGGCGTTCACAAATCCAAACTGATTGGGCGCAATTTGTTCCTCGCATTTCCGGTAAATTCTTTTGTGGATGACTTTTAAAAACAGCTTCAGCAGATGGCTCATTAGGCTTATTGTCCTATAATCTTCACAAACTTTTGCTCCTGGTTTTTTGGGCAATGGTACGAACTCTGATTTGAGCCACTCTACTGGTATTTTTCCTGCCTTGAATAGCTTCAGCAGTTCTGCAGGAATTTCATCAAGTCCCGGTGTCTTTCCATCCTTCATTTGTCTGTCTGATTTGTTATTTCTTCTGGTAGGATTTCGGGACCTGAATTTTCTTCAACGGTGGGCTCTTGTACTGTTCTAAGGTCATGGAAAAGTTTCCCCAAGTATTCTTCCCATATTTTTTTTATCTTCTTTGGTTATGGCAAGATTGCCTTCATTATCTGTTATTTTTACGCTGTTGCGTTTTCGAAACTTTCCAGCTATTTCCTTCAACTTTCGATGAACATTGAAGTTATCATATCGACTGTGATACTCTTCTATTTCTTGACATTGTTCTGTTTTTTGTTTCTCGTTGGCTTCTCTTATTTTCTTCTGACGATGGTATGTATTCTCTTATATTCTTGGAGATTTTCTTTGTTTTTTTCCTCTGATCCATAAACGGCTCAACAATTTGCGTTTCTCTGATTTCTTACAATCTTTTCCACAGTATCCTGTGGAGATTTCCAGGTGTACAGTTTCCTTAGGTGTAGCTTAAACCAGGTGTTCATTATTACTAATTTATTTGCTTCCGCAAAAATCTCCAATGTACGGTAAGAAATAGAAGAGTATAATGGAACGATCATATAAGCCGAATGACAACAAATAGAGTAGTAAAGATGGCAACAAGTTCCCAATAGGAAGACCACGAAAACGATGGAATGACAACTTACTGGATGCACATTGAAAAACAGACAGAGTCATGTGTATATAAAAAGAAGAAGAGAAGAAAAAGAAGAATTATTGACTTATCGCTTATTCACAACTTCACGGCCTCCCCTAATTACGTTTTTTGTTCGATGACACGACTTAATAACATAAATATAGCTCACCCTGTGTACGCCTGATTTCCGAGCAAAAAACAAAGGACGCACATTCGCATA